TTCTCTTTTGTTTTTCTTTCTCAAGATTCTTTGCTATTCGGAGTTTATATAATTAACCATTTTTTCAAAATAAAATTTTTTTCTCTTTGTCTTCATCTCCATCTCTGTCTCTGTATGCCTCCCCCACCTCTGTGTGTGTGTATATCCATATGTTTCTGATTATATAAGAAAGCGTGTTCATTGTAAAATAATTCAAAATGCAGAATAAAATTAAAAATGAAATAATTAATTATCTCACAATTCACATATAATGACTGGGTAGTTTTTAGTTAATATGTTTTCAGGTGGTTTTTAAAATTTACATAAATATGTATTTATAAAAATAAGCCCTTACTATACAAACTATTTTGTAAATTGCTTTTTAATTTAACATTATATTGTGAATTTATTTCCAAATCAAAACAGATCAAACCATCATTTTAATCCTTAATAATATTTTATTAGTATTATTATTATTTATTATTATTATTAGAGAGAGTGAAAGGGAGGGTGAGAACAAGAGAGGGAGAAACATTGATATAAGAGAAACACTTAGATTGGTCGCTTCCTGCACGCACCCCTGACCAGCCTACAACTGAGGTACATGCCCTTGATTAGAATTGAACCAGAAACCCTTCAGTCTGCAGCTGACACTCTAACCACTGAGACAACCGGCTAGGGCAATATTTCATTTTTTGGTATTCCAAAATTTATTTAACCAGTCCCTTATTGATGGACAAAGAGGTTGGTTATAGTATTTGACTATTATGAAGAGTTCTCCAGAATATTTTTTATGTGTATCTAATTTCATCTTCTTCATCAGCATCTGTTTATTACCTTTGGTTAAAATCTAGACATGAGCCCTGGCTGAGTGGTTCCGTTGGCTGGAGCATTGTCCTTTACAAGGAAAGGTTACCAGTTTTGATTCCTAATCAGGGCATATCCCCAGGTTGTGAGTTTGATCCCCAGTATGGAGAGCAACCGATTGATGTTTCTCTCTCTCGCTCTAAAATCAATAAAAACATATTTATGAGTGAGGATAAAAAGCCCCCGAAAACCTAGACATGAAATTGCTGGGTGATGTATAACTCTTTATTGTTAAACTAGAGGCCTGATGCACAAAATTTGTGCAAGGGCTTTGGCCCTTGCTGCTGCAGTGGCCACCTTTGCCTCAGCCCCCGCCCGCCACAGCTTTGTCCTGTATAATTAGCATATTACACTTTTATTATTATAGATTTTAACTTATATAAAAACCTCTTACATGTTACCGATGTAAGTTAAATATTAAGATGAATAAAAGTACATGTTTTTGACCTGCCGTCTTTTTCATAAGATCTTCCCTACAGCAGTGATCTTCATATCTACTTGGCTTCAGCAGCCCCTCCAGTGAATGAACACTTGTTCTTATCCTTTAGAATGGCTCAGTGGTCAGCTTCTGATTTCCCACTTATTATGGTCCAGCAGAGTACCACTGAAAACCAATTTAAACCCATGGAACAGTTGATGGAACTAAAACTTTAAGCTCTGATTCAAATTCATGTTCATTCTTTTTTTTTTTTTTTTGTATAACATGCTTGCACTGTATTTTTCAGATGTATTTCGGTTTTTTTTGTGGAGTTCCAGACATACTTCACTCAGGATTATGCACAAACAGCGTGGATCCATTCCATTGTAGACTGTATGACCATGCTCTGTGGTAAGTATCACTTACCAGGGATAGACAGCTACTGGCTACTGTCAAATTGTACATGACAATGACCTTCTACTGCCTTTGATTACCAGTTTTTCTTAGTAGAAAGACTATGGTAAAAATTGGCTAAGAAGAAAAGAAAAGGTCGATCCTACCCTTCAGCCAAACCCAACCAGACATGCTCTTGGAATTAATGGTCTTGGCTGATGTCAGATGGAACAGGCAGTGAATAGCTGAGGAGGACACATTCCATTTGGTTCTTCTATATGAAGAGGACTTGGGCATCATAGGACTTACCTGATTTTGGAAGTAGCTAGCTATACAGTGTATGCATGGCTTCTTTCTTCCAAATGCTGTGATCCCTTCATTCTCCAGTCATGTAAGTCCTTGGATAGCACCCTGAGCCATTTCTATAGGATCCCCTTAAGTGAGTGCACACAATATGTGCATTGTTTCTCAAGTCTTGTTTTCATTCCATTTCCTTCCCAGAGATTTCAAACTTTGTCACATAGATTTCATCACTTTTCATGCATAAATCTTCATTCTTAAGAGAAGGAATAGGGAAGGATAGGATGATATAATCCTGAGATAAATACATTCACCATAGCTGTCGTTTCACTCAATATATAGGGTAAGTAGAGTGTCCTCAAAATAAATGGAACCTCTCACTCCATATATTTAGTAAAGGAAAGCTAACTTTGAGGTTTTTTTGTTTTGTTTTTTTTTTTTTAAATTCAAACCAAAGTTGTTCAATTAGTGGCTTAGAGAGTTTCTGAGATTGAGTCACATTGATAGAACCTATTTGCAGGCTAGACCCATTTAATCCTTTTATTGAGATGAATCCTGAGTATTTTAGAAAACTGCTCTTTCCAGGCCATGTCTTTGTGGGAAAGGGAAATATTATATTATTTAGTAACTTAAAATTGATGTCACCTGATTCCATTCTAGACACTAGTTCATATTTATTTTTTTAATGTACATACTCAGGAATCAATTCAATTGTTCTGAAATTTATTTCCTTAGTTAGAAGGAATTTGAGAGCAAACCTGAAAGGCAGGTTTCAGGAGAAGGATAAATTGACTCTACCGATAACACTGGAAAGCCTTAGGGGATAAAAAAAAAATAATATCTCTGGGTTTTCTGTCTTGTGTGTATTTATTTATTTATTTATTTATTTACTGGTGAGACAATCACTGGGTCTTCAGGGCCACGTTAGTCACAGTGTTTGTATAAGCAAGTCAAGAGAGCAATGTTTGTCTTTCTCAAAAGTACAATCCTGAGATAAATACATTCACCATAGCTGTCATTTTATTCTATATATAGGGTAAGTAGAGTGTTCTCAAAATAAATGGAACCTCTCACTCCATATATTTAGTAAAGGAAAGCTAACTTTGAGGTTTTGTTGTTTTTTAAAAAAATTCAAACCAAAGTTGTTCAATTAGTGGCTTAGAGAGTTTCTGAGATTGAGTCACATTGATAGAACCTATTTGCAGGCTAGACCCATTTAATCCTTTTATTGAGATGAATCCTGATGTTTCCCTCACTGTTATCTTTTGGAGACTATTCATAATCCCCAAAAGAGAAATAAATGAACTTCAGTGACCAATATGGTCACAATGACCACGTGAGACATTGAGCCAAAGTAGGGTCATGTTAGCATGACCTTAAATATGCAGCATATTTAAATTCCATGCAAGGACTCAAGGCCTGTTTAATTCAGCCACATGATAATATTCTCATACTTCACAATTGCTTACCTGGCAACATTGGTTGAGTACAGAGGATGAACATGAGGCTGCAGAATCGCATCTAAGATGCTCTTTGGGGACATAACTGCCCTATAATAAACAGAGAAGTTA